AACTCCTCATTTCTATCTCACATCTCCATCTTCCATTTAGTGGCTGTTCATCGGCTGCTCTATTAGAAAGAGAGATTACAAATTACTGAAATATTTTTTCTCGTGCAGATGCGCAGCTAACTTTGGCTTGCAAGTATGCTTTGATGGTCAATTTGATCATAATGTTAGCATTCGGAAAGGCAGAAACTACGGTCTTGTAGACTCCCAAACTTCGTATAATCCATCAACGACTTTTAGCTATGTTTTGTGGCCTGATTCCTAGTTCTGGCTAGACAAAGTGGTTATCTCGTAGAAAATAGGTTGAAAAGCGATATACGTCCTTAATGTGATTATTAATGCTTAGATGCATGTGTGCCTTTTAAATATGTTGCTGGTTACCGATCATCCACAGCATTTTTTTGCAGAACTTTTTATGCTTTCGCTAACTTTTCTTGATCTGTGCACTATATTTTTAAAATTATAGGAAAACTTTGCAATTACCTCAATTTAAGTGCCGTCTTCAGTTTTGTGACGCCTCATACTTAAATATTGTAACGCAACTTTTTGGTAAATGCACACACATTTATAAATATCAAAAATCATTTTTCTCGTTGGTCTCAACTAAATCTATTGTGAATGTTTTGGCAGATTTTATCACAAGTGTATGTATTAGTCTAATTATTTTATTTGCGAAGACGATAGAATGCTTATAGAAGTAAAAGTGATTCATTGTAAATTAATACTGGTATGGAGTAAGTAATGCTGGAGAAGATTGGACGTCTGCGATTTCCAGTTAGGGACGCTCCGACCAGTGGCAATGGTCGTGGTGCCAAAAATCACGCTACTGTGATTTAATTTTTCTTACTTAAGGCTGTTTCCAAGCAGATTTCGGGCGAATTTGAGTTTTCTCTATTTTATGAGGTCTTTAGAAAAAGGTAATCGTGAACCTTAAGTAGCAGCCAGAACGGCTGAGAGGAACATCAGAATGACTGCATACTGCTCGGGACCAGGTGCTACGAGAGGTGTAAGTCAGATTATCACTTTTTCTGTTGCACATGCATTCCACTAAGATAGGCTTAGGTGTTTAGTAATAAACTTTCAAAAGAGTTTGCTTAGGAAGGATCCAGGGTCGTTTACAGCCACTCTGGCGGTCACTATGTTGACGCGATTTGAAGTCCGAAACGATTTTTCCGCCTAATTTCTTGAAAGGTGCCTTTATGTTACGTTTTTCGTAATCAAATGAGGATTATAGGGGTACAATTAGAGTGTCCACTATCATAAACCAGTGAGAACTCTAAATTTGTGATTTTTTGCTGAAATGTGCCTCTAAGTTAAAATCACTCAAGTTGAATTGTATTTTGACCAAACTCAACAATCACTAATTCACTTTTTATTTCAATTCAGTAAGGAAATAACTGGTCGCTTGTTACAACTATTGCACATCATTAAAACTCCCATTTTGATGTCGCCATATTACTAGAGATCATTGTGAGATTATTGAGTTGTTTTTGAATTTGTATAACTATCGTCCCCATAGCCCATTAGCCAACTGCCATTGTGATCTGAAATGATCGTGTTTTAGAATGTAAAGAATTGATCAACTAATTAAAAATCTTACCGTTTGTCCCATTCAGCATACGGCATTGATAAAACGTACCTGCAAAGTGTGTCATTAGCAAAAATTATTCCCATTTATAAGTATATATAAGTAGAAATACCTTGATCCCCATGTTGAATCTGCTTTTGGTGGAGAAATCAGTCGTTTCGGTGTTTCGTAGCCACTCTGTAAAATAATGAATCAAATCTGATAAGTATTTCCGTCATTTTACTTACCTCTTTGAATAAACTTCTTTTACCCCATAGACCATGTGCTTTACTCCAATGTGATGTCGCCGCACTTTCATCCGCAAACACGCATGCAAGTACAACCAGCAGAACACCTTAAGACGTCATAGAATGCTTAAATTGAAATTCTTAATTTTCATTTTGTTGAAATGCATTGTGCTGGCGCGCAGTTAACATGCAAAAGCGCAATTGTCTTCACATCAAATCAACACCCAACTGTTTCGCCATTGTCGCCTTGTATTTTATGGGAGAAGCACGTTCCCCAAATTCCCTAAAGTTGAAGGTATGGTCCAAAGTGTACATTGGATCGAATCGAATAAGTATTC